CAGGTCTGCTGGATGTTCGAAGCTCGTTTGGAAGGCGAGTTTGAATGTGATGGTTGACTGCAAACACCCCGCCAAGTGGCGGCCGCCGAAGCTTGCAGGTTGGGGGCTGCAAAGATGATGCGCACCGACGAGGTTCGGGTCCTTGACAGTTAGGGCGTTCGAGAGTTAGCTCGCTCTTATTTTTAGTGTCGGCGTCAACGATGAGTGACAATGGATTCCTGCATGCCACCCGCAACAGTGATCGTCTCGAGTGCCTCCTCTCGATATGGGTACATAGGTCTGCTATGCTGTATACTGGTAATGGTCTGCGAGTGACCAACGTGATTCGACTTCCAAAGAAGATACCAACTACTTTTTCAGAACGTATGGCTCTTGGCCCGAAGCTAGGCGTTTCTCATGGTGGTCCCGTTTGAAGGCCGATGACCAAATGCCTTTCCAGACCAGTCGAAACGGCCAAGACACCGATAGGACGCAGTTTCCCTGCAAATGGACGGTCATTACTAGGTCCATCCGGCCAAAGTTTGAGAGTGAGAATGATCGTGTGCTGTTCCACGCACTTGCTCACCCGTGAGTATACCTTGTTCACCACAAGTTTGGGAGACGGACGGCCTGTTGCAAACGAAGTTGCAAAAGATATTCTCAGACGGCCAAAGGTTGAGCACATACACGCAGAGAGGATAGGTTCGAAGAGGCGACGGGTGCTGTTGGATATCGGCGGGTCTAAGCCAGGCTTGTCTTTGGCTGGGTAGCTACCAAATCAGACATTAGGCCAGCCTCACCTTTGCGTTACCCAGCGAGACTAGCAGGCACAATTCAACAAGTTTGCAGCAATTCTCAGATATGGGCAAGTACCAGGCTGGCAAGCCGTGCCAATGCTGTTTGCCTCCTTGCTTGTCAAAATGAGCACTTGCAACAGGCAAAGAGCTCAGACTTGATGATCCGTGCGGGCCGTTGAGACTGCCGTGTACAGATCTTTCGATGTCGTCGCCGCATAAAGCGAGGCTGGAAAGAATCGCCGCCAGCGGAGGGCAGGGCTGTGGACTCGCAGGTGATCCGCGTTTATCGTCGTGGACAACAAAACAGGTGGCGTGGTCTGCGCGGCATCGCCCATATTGCTTCGAAGGGGCCAATATTCCGTCCGTTCCACTGCAGTGGCTGGTATGTGAAGGCTATTTCCAGCTGCGGTCTGGAAGCTTCAACGCATCATGAACCAGCAGGGCTGAGGAAGTTTCAACTTCCCCCGCGCAACGCTAAGCGGCAGGAGTAACCACAGCCATGGTGCCAGCCACCCAGACGGCCATGTCACGTTAGGCTGCAGGATCATTCCTCCAGAGACTAACAGGCACGATTCCTAGCCGCTCCGAGGTCCTGAGTGGCGAAACTACAAGTGCAGGGGACGTGACGCGTTGGTTTAACGGACAAGCTCGACAATGAGCGACGGCAAAGTCACAGAAGGCAGTCATCCGACGGAGGAAGACGTTGTCGTCAACTGCGAACCCGCCTTCTCGGACGTCACAGGTCTTCCTGCATATCGAATCAGCCTCAGTCACTGGTCTTGGCGCCAGCATGAAGGGTACTTACTGCGCATACTGGTATCAGGATGCATCGACTGTGTCAGGGGCTAGAGTTTATTTCTATTTTCGAAGGGATGCTGGGCGAGAGCTTCGTTCGGGTGGCGGCGCCTCCATTCTCAGCTCAACGATACTCGGTCGAGAATGAAGTTCGAGGGACGTCGAGGGGTGGCGTCATTGAACGTAAAGGAAAGGAAATTGGTCATTTGCACGAAAGGCTAGGTAAATTAGTGTAATTGCACACCTGCTCGCTCTCGACCCGAACATCTGGACGGATCCACAACGGTAGGCACGTGCGTGCCCAGCCTGTTCCAGACCCTCACTTCAAAGACGTAACTTTCCTCTTTCGGTGACCAGGAAGATGTGGAAGTGACTGTTTGGAATGTTTGAGAAGCCAAATCAAATATCGAAATTGCCCTACTTACAAGTCTCTTTCTACCCCTTCCCGGATCCTTCGGTCTAAATCTCCTCCGAAGGCTCCGAGATGAGTTCATACATGCTGTGCCTCCACCGCCACTCACTGACAAACGCAGCGAGTGTGGCTTGAGATGCAGGTTTCAACATCTTCAACCAGTTGGGCACCAGGTGCAGCCATGGTACCGGACTTATCCAAGAGCAAGCTTAGGTTTTGACGCAGTGCTTGCCGAAGACTTGAAACATCCCTCGAGGACTGGAAAGAGCATTGTTTAGATCGCATGATTTACCCCTGCTGGGTGACGAAGCACCTATTGTAAGACGGACTAGACTTCACATCACAGTGGAAGCTTAAGTAAAAACAACTACACCATAAGCACCAGATACGACAATACAGAGAAGACCTTTCTCAATGATTGTTGTTTTTATAGCAGCTGGGCGGGGTTCAACATGTCAATGAGCTTTACAAGGGCATTGAGATACTCTCAAAAAGTCAGAGAATAGAGTCTGTAGCATATAGAGCAAAAAATGTCAACTTCAATTTATCAGATAGTTATATTAGAGTGATTCACCGAGTGCTAACTCCTTTCTTAATTATATAGTTCATACTTGTCTTCTTCTAAGCAAACTTAATACAGAAGACGTTGATTAAAGTGCAATAAAGTTGGCTTGCTGCAAGAAAAAACATGAATTATACGGCTGATGTGCAGGCGTTTTGTTCCGTGGAAGCTCGGCCATAGCGATTTCAGTCCTGTCCCGACTGAGAAAAATCTTTATTTTGAGAATATTGATATTAGTCATCTCCATCAGGTTTGTCTCGGAAACATTTCTGGTCCGTGGCTAACGCGCCGGTATCGTGCTTGATCCTAGGACGGTCTGAATGACAGAAGCGTCATCCTTCACGCAAAATCTATGCCATAATTTTCGCTTGAAAATGTAAACTGTAGACAATAAGTACTAAGCTTCTGAAAGGCAAGGTGTACTTACAGGGTCTGCCGAATAGTTCCCTTTGTATATGACGACGGTGACCTTGAACATAAAAGATTTAACATTATGTTACAATTACATTTTGTCAGCCACAAATTGTCACTCTGACTCTATGTGCTACCTTCATCTTGTATAGAGCCAGGGTGCTATACAGTGTAAGCCTTTACTTTGCTACGGTATCTCCTTAGACTACAAAACTCACCTCATAGCTGCCTGGCCATATCGGCAGATATTTGTGGTACTTGTTTACCCAAATATTTGCTCACTACTCCTTATACTTATATCAACTCCTCGAAGAACATAGCTTGGTTATTTGGACCACTCCAAGCTTGTCAGAACACAGTTGAGATAATGGAATCAAGGTAACGAACAAAGAGGAAATTTTGCAGATCTATCATCTGCATCAACGACGACAACCACCCCGAGGGTTACAGGATGATCAGTTTCAGGCAACGGGGTCTGATAAATAAAGAGACGGTCAGTTCCCACATCGTCAAGTATTCTTGGCAATGTCGACGGGTATGATATTGAGTCCGTCTTCGAGGGGAACAAGGATCCGTAGACGTTCACTAAGGAATTGGCCTATGTCTTGCAACTCACGCCTAAGAAGCTCAAAAATAGCTAACTTTGAACTGACATCAGCGGAATGCTCGCTTTAGAGTATGAGGCAATTGTACAAATATTGCGGATTTGGGTGCTTGAATTCAACCTCTGCAGTATAAGAGAACAAAAAGGTCGGCTGGAGCTGGCGTTGAAGGGAATATGACAATGAAAATGTGCCTCCTCATGTTGATCAAGCGCTAGTGACGGTTTTCTCCGAGAACGAGCTGTTTTGTCCCAATATCTTGAGCAACGACAGGCTGGGTCCCCCGCATAGGTTCATCGTTGCCTGTATCGAAAAGGAGGGTGAGGCCTAGACGCAGGTCTAGGCCGCGGAGATTATAAGAGCAAGGATTGAACAGAGTCCCTCTCCACCTATTGACTCGTCACTTTTGTCCTTATAGATGCTCTGGCTGGCATTCGAAGAGTCATTGTTAACCGACAGCAGATTTCGATGAGCGACAACGGTAGCTGGGCCTCTTAAACAGCGATTTGAATTCTGGTTTGTTCATGAAATAGAAGCACATCTGTTATCTGCTTGTTCGCATTCCGAGTTGACAACGAAACATTCATATGGAGCCGTTAGAGTGCAATGCAACACCCGCTGCTTTGTCACATTGCAACGTGGAGTTGATGTTTCTTATACACATCATTTCAATCACACCTTGATCTACTGAGGGAGTCTGGTTACATCGTAGAAAGATGACAAGAGGTAGCGACAGATTGCTCCGTCCATGTCTTTGAAGTATCATTTCATCTCCCTCCACTTCTCTGCCTTTCTTTCGCAAAACCACCAGCCTACAGATCAGGAATAGTATGACGCGATTTCCGATTGGATGGAGTCTTACAAGCAACGAAACAGACACATTGTCCTTCAATCTCTCGTGCTATTTACAGATTCCGTCAAAGTAAACCTCACTCACAAGACCCGGACATCGGACGAAGTATCCCGACCCCCGACCCCCGGCACATGCCCCACTCGCTCCCGACCGCCCCTCCCGACGTAGCATCGTCCCGACTTCGTGCAAACCCCACTCTCCCTTCCCCCGGGGATCCCGTCGCATTCGCGAAACGCAGGCGGGGATGGGGGAAGAAGCGTCACCATGACCCTCACACTATCTCCTCCCCAAAAAACATCGGCCGAAACCTGCGCTCCCGGAAAAACCTGCCTTACCTATAACCTCATCCCCCGACCCTCGACCACCCTATCAACCCATCTCATCGGCCCAGTCATCCCATCTCACGCAGCCTTCTTCCCTTCTCACCGTCTCTCCATCTGAAACCCTTTTTTTCGCCGACGACGTCACTCCCATCCCTCAAGAGGTGGACGCTGAGCCACGCCGAGACCCTCGGGAAACCATCCTCGCCCCGACAGAAGCAAGTCGTACGGCCCAGAAACGACCGACACGCAAAACGAACGGACCAAAGATGCCTTTCCCCTCCAAGACGGCCCTCATAACCGGCGCGACCTCGGGTATAGGCCTCGCCCTTGCGGAGCGCCTCGTCGCCAACGGCACCTTCGTCATCGCCGTCGGCCGCCGCGGCGACCGCCTCGACGCCCTCGTCTCTGCCCACGGCCCCGAAAAGGTCGCCGCGGAGCCGTTCGACGTCACCGACCTCGATGCCCTGCCGGGATGGGTCGAGAAGTGAGTTCTCCAATCCCGTGGCTTTTCCATTGTCGCCGTTCTGCCGTTCTGCCGTCGTCCTCGACAACGCACCACTTCTCCCGGGAATTGGTGTCGGCCTTCTCGTTGCCAGCGAGCCACTTGCATCGAGATCCTTCCCTTCGCTTGAGACGAGTACAAGTGACGTTGTACGACTAACACCATCCCCCAGAATCACAATGACCTACCCGACCCTGGACACTATCATCCTCAACGCAGGCGTCCAGCGCAGCGTAGACTTCACCGCTCCATCGTCCATCTCCCTGCCGTCCGTAGCCTCGGAGCTCACCACAAACTACCTCGCTCCGGTACACATGATCACTCTTTTCCTGCCTCATCTACAGTCCCTCCGGTCTTCCACCACAACCACGGGCTCCTCCATCATCCTCGTCTCCTCGGGCTTGGCCCTTGTCCCGATACCCCGCTGCCCAAACTACTGCGCCACCAAGTCCGCCCTCCATTCCCTCGCCTGGTCTCTCCGCTCCCAGCTCGCCGCCCATGAGCCGTCTTCCCATATCCGCGTCGTCGAGGTCGTGCCCCCCGCCGTCCGGACCGAGTTGCACTCACAGCAACCCGACCTTGTCGCGGCGGGCCAGGGCGACTTCGGTATGCCTCTAGACGAGTTCACCGAGGAGACGTGGGCGGCGTTGGAGAAGGGGGAGGAGGATGAGATTATTGTCGGGCCGGCTAAGAATTTTGCCTATGTAGAGAAGGATAGGAGAATACTGTTTGAGAAGATGGCCGAGTCGTTCAAGAAGGGCAACACAGCGTGATGACGAAACAAACTATAACACGAGTATCGTTGGTCATGGATATAATCACAGAATCAATCACCGACGAAACTAAAATGTTGGCTATCAATCTGTATTGTGCCAATCCTAAGCTAACTACAGTTCCCGTCCTGTCAGCCGCCATCATGATCGCCGAATTGACCTTCCAGCCAGATCCAACGAGACGACTGCGTGTCTGTGCATTGTTTTTTTCCCGATTTGTTAAAGAACTTGCACAAGGACTGCAAAGAGAATACGAAAAGCAAGTGTCTCTCATCACCTGGGCTCGTCCCCCTTCCATCTCAGGAAAGTGTGAAGAGGCCCGTAGCGCAGAAACCAAAGTTTCATGTCCAGCTGAGGAAGGAAAGAAAACCAAGCCTGGCCAAGTCTTCCCCTTCGTCCCTTTCCCAAAGGGTATATCTTTCTTTCGATCCGTCCAAACCAAGACTACATGAGCCTCCAAGGTGTTGCTCGTCCAGAGTCAAGCGAGAAATATCAATGAGAGGCTGTCGATACCTCGATGACTTGGCTAAGAATGTAAAAGAAGTGAAGATGAATTTGTAAGTCAATCAAGCCTCGAATGCTGGAACGTAAATAAAGCCGCCAAACCCCCTTGAATAGAAACACCGTATGATTCGTGAGAATGCGCCTGCCCGTCCAACCAATCGTTCAATCCTGCCATCCAAGGGGTAAAGGATCAACCCGCCCTTGCGCAGGTCGTGAAAAGGAAAAGACATTGGTGCGCATAGCCGTCGTGACGTCCAGAGACCAAAGCAAGTCTATGCCAGGATGCCGCTCTTTCGCTTCTCAGCGCTGGTCAGGACTAGCATGGGCGCCTTGCGCTGACCGTCCGTCACTTCGATCCCGGCACGCTGAGCCGAGTTCTTGAAGACGCTAGCGAAGCTGTTCTCGCCGCTCTCATTGCTGCTTACGCTGTCAAGGCTCTTGCGGGCTCTCTGACGCGAGCTTGGGCGGTCGGAACCGATGGCACCCCAGCTGCCGTTGGTGGAAGTTCTTGAGCTAGGGAGAGAGCAGTCGATATCACCCGCCAGGCTGCCAGATCCGCTGCGACCGGAATCGGACTCATTGTCGGTGATGGGGGTGCCAGACTCCTCCTCAGCGCTCTCCGAGACGGGACTCATACTGCCGTTAGAGCTGCCAGTTCCCTTTCTGCGCTCCCGCCCGGCACGCACCAGATTGTGCACTGCAGAACGGCGAGTGCGAGTGGCAAAGTTCTTGCTGCCCTCGTGCTTTGCGGTAGGCTTGGCCTTGAGTTCCTCGATGGAAGGAGGTCCACGGGGCTGGCGGACGGGATGCTCGCCGGCACGTCCCTGACCGGGTCCATAGCCTCCGGACAGAGGGGTGAGGGGGAAAGAGGCCGTCTTAGGGCCAGCAGACTTGGGGGCTCTTGGGAGGGCGAGAGGCTGGCCTGGTTGTTACCATTCAAGGCCAGGGACATGACCTTCTTATGGCCACGGCGGAAGGCGTTGGCTGACGGGGGAGGCAGAGGAGCTACTTCGGAAGGTGACTCGTAGCGCTTGGGGGGAGTCGCCGTGCGGAACGGGGAGGCGTGGTTCTCAGGAGGAGGGGAAACCTGAACGCGGGGGGCTTGCTGGTGCTGATGCTGCTGCTGAGCTAGCGCAGCATAGAGCTGAGCAATCTGAGCCTGCTGGTGGTCATTCTGGCCCTGGTCAACGTAAAAGCCCTGCTGGCGGGTAACAGGGTCGTAGTAGGTGTAGACATTCTGCTGCTGGTTGGCCATCTGGCCCATCATGGACTGCTGGATGCTCTGGAGCTGCTGTTGCTGCTGGTACATGGCCAGCTGCTGCTGCTGGATCTGTTGCTGTGCACCCTGCAAGTTCAAGCCCTGGAATTGCTGAGCGGCGGCCTGAACGCTGAGGAGCTGCTGCTGAAGGCGCTGCTGCTGCTGAGCAAGGTACATGTTGGTGGCAACCAGCTGGGCGTACATGTTGGGATCCATCTGCTCCTGCTCGTCAAAGTGGATCTCAGGCGGCGCCAGAACTTGCTCAGCACTGTAATGCTGGCTCGTGGGAATGGACTGATGGACCTGCTGCTGCTGCTGCTGAACAAATTGCTGTTGTTGTTGCTGGCCCGCATACCGGGGCAGCGCAGTCTTGGGTCCGTTGTACTGGCCGTTCTGGGCTTGGGCGTACATGTTGTTGTTGGGGTTCAAGTTGTTCCTAGCAAAGGACTGCGTGGTAGGCGAGGCAACATTGTTGGCACCCGAGAAGTTGGCCGCAGTAGCGGACTTGGGGGCGGTCCTGAGGCCCGCAAGCAGGTGAGAGCGGCTGGTACGGGGAGTGGGAGCTCCGTTGTCAGCAGCGTTGCTGGTGGGAGCGGCGTTCGACAGGGAGAGCGGTTTCACAGGGCCACCGCGGCGAGAGGCAAGTCCGCCGCCGGGCATGGCGAGGCCATTGGCCGAGGAGAAGTTGTTGGAGTTCATTTGAGCGAGACCGCCTGCGTCCATTGCTCAGATGGGAATTGGTGTCGAGCGCGGAATTGAGGTGGCGGAAGAGCCGGGATGAACGAGATATCGAACTCGTCAAAGCTGAAAAGAATGTATGGTGGCCTTGCAAACGGCTGGGGCGACCGGGTCGAATTACAAGAAGGATAGTCGAGGTGGAATGCGCGGCGCTAGGCGTCTGAGGAATATTATGGTGCTCGAGTGCGCAGGGTTCTCAAGACGGTGGCAGTAATGAATCCGACCGATCCAAATGGATATCCGGAGCTTGTCCTGGAATAGCGGCGAATAGAAGTCGGCTGAATTGAGGTGCCAAAAAGTCAGAATCCAAAAATCGGCGATCTTTTGGATGGAATCGAGGTGATGTTGCGAGTGTTGTTCAGATTAGATGGTCGCGTGATCGAGCGTCGAAGGCAGGATAGAAGAACAAAAAAATGATTGTTGTGATGAAAGAATGGGCGACAGAACGGTTTGTCGATGGAAGGTGAAGACAGTGCTCGAGTTGTCGAGGAAGACTTAGCAGGAAGCGGTTGTGGTCGAGGGAGATCGGAACCACAAAGGGCGGGATTTCTTTGTTTGGCGGAAGCCGAAGGCGCGCGTGCAACCCTGGAGATGGTCGGAAAGAGCGAAGTCAGATGACTGTCGACTTTTCCAGAAAAGAGTGCTAGGCAGCTGCGGGGACGTTTCCGTTGGAGTTGCTTCGGGCGAAGGTGGAGCGCTGAAGATTACGAAGGGGAACTTTTTCTGATGTACTTGCGAAAAAAAAAAAGAAGAAAAAATCGGGGTGTGGACGAAATCGAAGTAGAGTACAGTGATTAAAAGTTGTTCTTCTCGGATGGGGTTTGTTTGTTGGATGTTGTCGGTTGTCGGTGATGCAGATGCAAGATGCGATTGCTGGTGAATGGGCCTGTTTCCTTTCTTTGCCTCTTTCTTTCCTTTCGGAGATGGATTGAGAGTTGTGTGCGGCGGTGTTGCGAATGTGCGGAGTGTTCGGCAAGAGCAGCAAGCCTTCCAGAACTGGGACAGAATTTTTGCGGTGGTTGAAAACGAGGCGAGACGGATCTCAAGAGAATGCGAGAGTTTTTGGGCTTTTTGGGGTTGTTTTTTCCGTGGTTTCCCTTTTTTTCCCTGTTCTAAAACGACGACGACGATGACGAACAAATCGCAGACCAGAGCGGCGGGGGAAAGAGGAGGGGAGGGGAGAAAAGGTTGAAGGAGGGAAAAAAAGAAGGGCGGTGAGCTAAAGAGAGAGGAAAGAGCAAATGTAGAAGTAGAAGATGGGGGCAAGCAGCGAGTGGACGACAGATATGGAGATGGGAGTGTGGACGAGAAGGACGGAGTGGACTGGACGGAAGGGAAGAAAGGGCAGGGGCAGGGGGGAGGAGGGCGGCAGCAGTTGCAGCCCACGCCAGTCCAGTCACTGGCTCTTTCCTTCCCACCACAGGCACAGTCACCACCATAGTCACTACTGTGTAGTCACCACACCACACCGCGCCATGCACACACAACACACACACAGGCATTGTGTACACTACACCCTCAGTCCGAGTCCCACGTCCAGTCCAAAGCAACGCCAGGAGACAGGAGTCCAGGACGGGACGAAGCAGGGTCAAGGCCAGGCCAAACCAGACAAGGGTAAGGAGGAGGGCAAGTGTGGAACAGGCCAGGCGAGGCAAGGCACCAAAGCTGGTGCCAGGGGAGCCCAAAGAGAGTGGAGACGGTACAAGGCCAGACAGGGCCCAGGGCCACGAGCGTCTTGCCACAGGTGCGCCCGACTTTGCCAACTGGGGGCGAGAGCCCGACCAATGATGAGAGAGGATGTCCCGAGAACCGGCGACAAGACAGGCCAATGGGAGGGGCAGGAAGGAAAGGACTCGCTCGCTGGGGGACTCGGGAGAGACAAGGGTCCTTGAAATGGGCCCACCTGCACACACTTCGGGTGCCTTCGCCTTCCACACATCACACGCCATCCATCCATCAGGACCAGGTCCAGGCGTACCTACCTACCTCTGTACCCGCCTTACAGCATACCTATGCTCTGTAAGTACAACTTGTACCTTTTGTGAACATGCACTAACTACGGGTGCCCAACGCTAGAAAGAACGGGAGACTTCTGCATCTGGACATTTCTACTCGAAGCAGCCCACTTTGCATACATCCTGCATTACCCACTTGTTCAACGCAGAGTTTAGGAGGCAACGAGGGTACCTGCCAGCCAGGCCGATCTTGAAGGAGGACCCAGAAAATTTCAAATAGAGCAGCAGACAATGAACATCAAAATCAAGGAAAATAAAAATACACACAATATACTGCCATGCAACAATAAGTCGAGTATTGCGGCGACAGCGACGGCGACGGCGATGACAACGGGATGGCTTTCAGCTGTGGCCAATCAAGGAATGAGCACAGGCGGGAGGCACGGGGAGGGGGGAACTGGCAGTAGCTATCCCATTTTTGCTCTTTCTGTCTCTCCCTCTCTCTCTTTCTCGTCTCCTTGCCGTTCTTTGGCTGTGTGACGGTTTCCTGCAACTCTTCCCTCCCCCAAACGAAAGAGAAAAAAAAAGCCTCTCACTTTCTTCATTGTTCACTGCAGAGCAAATCGCCCCTGCATGCGCCCGACTGACATAAATGTCCGTCAAAGAACCACAACGATGCATTGATGGATGAAAGCCACTTGGTCCGAAATGCCTCGATAACAAAGAACCATATGCCCAGGCATCAATTAAGCAGGGCAGCAGGTGTGGACTGAATACGAACGACTAAAGACTCTCTTGATGCTGGTGCAGTTCTTCCTGCTGTCCTGCCAGCTGCCAAACTTACTCGTCGATGCATTGCCATTGCCATCCATTGCCTCACGCTCCTGCTCTTGCTCTTGCTCTTGCTCTTGCTCTTGCTCTTGCTCTTGCTCTTGCTCTTGCTCTCGTTCTCGGTCTTGCTCCTGCAGTACAGAGTATTATGTATGTTGTATACCCAATAAGGCTAGCCAGTGTGATGACTTGTAGCCTCGGCGGCCAATCACCGCCGGGTCCTTCCCAGAGTGGAAAGACGTGACTCGAGGTGTGCAAGGCAACAATTTCCCTTCTGCACCAATGTACCATTCTACGTACCCCTCCTCTACCCCTTCTGCCCTCTTCCGTCAATGGCACTGCATCCGAGAGCCATCTGCTGGGCTGGCTGGCTGGCAGCGCTTGCGCTGACACTGGCTGCTGCGTACTGCATGCTGCACAACACTGGAAACTGTCACTGCCGCCCTCCTGTCGCTGCTGTTCCCGTTCCTTCTTGTTCTGTCTGCCGTTGGTTCAAGATTCCAAGCCAATGCATGCATGCACAGCTCCAACCATCAGTGCAATGCATACAGCATCCATCTCCTGCATACACCAAGTCGAATCAGAAACGCCGTCTTCTTGCACGACCACAATGCCTGCCTACAGACCTCTTTTGCTCCTCCACGCTTGCCCAGCTCCAGCCCCTGCGTCTTGTTTGCACCGTACACCAATATTCCACGGCCCTCAGCCCCCGGCACTCGCTCGGACTCCCGCGCCATTACGCATGCCTCGTCCAAGACATCCGCACAAGACAACAACCGCCTCTGCCATTCCATCCCGCGGGATGGGATTCCCTCTGGCCCACGAGGGAGCTCCCGCCGAGGCGCCCTTGTGACAAAACAGAGCCTTGCTCTGGCCGCAGCTTTCGCTCTGTCGTTTACGTGCCACAGAGCTCTCTGACTCCTCGCGGCGTCCCCTTCCAACGGGGCACGAGCAAGCATCAACCCCCTCGAACCCCTTACGGGATCTACAATAGTCTCATCGTGGCACTGCTCTCCTGCTGACCACCAGGCGTACCCCGGTGTATCGCCCGTTGCGACCGACAACGACGACTACCGCTAAGTGCCACTGCTGTGTACCGCTGTGCATAGCGACTGGCCCGTCATCTTTGGCCTGATGTTCTAGCCGTTGTCAGGGGGCTAAACCTTCGCTAGAGCCCGGATCGCTGCCCACCCATCTCTTGAGGGGCTGGCTTTCGTTCTCGCTTGGACGCCGCTGCTACATCGAACAAGCTTCCATTACTGCTTCTGGCCAACGTTACGATACCAGCGTTATGGAACATGCCCGCCATAGCATGAAGAGCAAATCCAGCATCAAGCTGATCATCCAGCAAAGTACCATCGTGGCATCCAACCGCACACGTGTACGGTGTACGGATACCGACACCAAATCACACCCAAGACCCCATCCCTTTCGTGCCTTTCTATTTCTGTGTCTTGACCAACACTGAGCCGGTGCTCGCCCACATAGCGCCCACCGTACCCACGGACATTTGTCCGTATCTTCATCCCCCAGTTGCCCACCAGCCCGGCACTTCATCAATCAGCAACGGTATCGAGTGTCGTTCAAACACTGCCAAGGTCTCGCATGCCTCCAAATAACAATTCTGGGGATCTAGGGGTCGTCGCTGATATGAGCCATGGTCAATGGGAACGGCAACATCACCCGATCGAGGACCTTCACATCCCCCCCCTCTCCAATTGTCGCCCGGGATGTTGGGCAGACCTTGGCAGGCAACGTCGAATCTCGAATACCTTCCCCCAACAGCGCGGCTTGTTGAAGAAGAAAAAAGACGACACGTAACTATAGACGAGGACACAGGGAAAGAACAACATCAGCAGAAACGAAGCCGCTTCACCGCACACTGGACGACAGCAAAGCGGCACCGACGACACGGCGACGGCACCCACCATCCCCATGGCAAGCTTGGACTGCTTGGGCCTCCTCCAGGGGTTCTCCCGTCCGCCACACGATACTTTCCACCGATGCCGCGTTCCTCCCGCCAAGGCTTCCCAACTTGAACCGTAATCGTTCATCAATTCTTCGCAAAGGGAAAAATTCAATTATACAGAGCAATGCAATCTGTCCTCGCGCGGCTGATTACCCCTCTTCCTTTCATCGTCTTTGCTCCACCTCCTCTGGTTCTCCGACCCTCCCGCTCGTTTCCTTCAAACAGGGCGG